GGGCGGGGTGGGCGCTGGCGGCGAAATGCTGGGCGTAGTGGAGCTGCTGCTGCTAGGGGCTGCGTGGCTGGCCGGCCCGGCCCGCGGGCAGAATGAGACGGAGCCCATCGTGCTGGAGGGCAAGTGCCTGGTGGTGTGCGACTCCAACCCCACGTCCGATCCCACGGGCACAGCTCTGGGCATCTCTGTGCGCTCCGGCAGCGCCAAGGTGGCTTTCTCTGCCATCAGGAGCACCAACCACGAGCCGTCCGAGATGAGTAATCGCACCATGATCATCTACTTCGACCAGGTGCGTGCTCCTTTCTCCCGCGGCATGCAGATCGGATTGGTGGTGGCGTTGGCGGGGGGTGGGGGTGGGGGCGTGCATTGGAAGACTGATGCCCGATCCTCTCCAAGGGCTCTGCGGAGGCGCGGGGACGACAGTCCGGGACTGACTCCTGTCTACTCCCTTCGTTCCCGTCTCGTTATAGGTGCTAGTGAACATCGGGAACAACTTTGATTCAGAACGCAGCACTTTCATTGCCCCGCGCAAAGGGATCTACAGTTTTAACTTCCACGTGGTAAAAGTCTACAACAGACAGACCATCCAGGTCAGCCGCCGCCTCGGGGCCAGGCCTTGGCCCCCTTAGGGGGCTACTAGCCGTAGGGGTGCGCGAGCTGTATGCGGGTGAGAGACAGAAGTGGCAGCTGCATGTGCCCGGGGCTGCTTGGAGCGACAGATAGCGGGGTCTCACGGTTCTGTGGCTTGGGCTGTCCCTTGCTTTCCCTGTCTCCGGCTCTTGGGACCCATCCCCATTCCCATTCCCAGAGAGAGTTTTCTGCTTCCGAAAAGGTCCCCCGGCTTTCCTACGGGACTCCGGGGACTTCCTGTAACGGTTGCTATTAGCACCACAAACAGCTCCCGCTTCCGGAAGCTTCCCGCGACCCCCGCCTTCAGCGCCACCGACAGTACTCCCCGCCCATCGCCCCAGCTCTGAAGCCTGCGAGGCGGCTTGTGCGCTTGCCTTGAACAGCACGGACAGGGCTTCTCCCGCCCCCCGCCTCCATGTGGCGTCCCTTTGGGGACCGACTCTGGGTTTTTGAACTAGTAGTTCTGAGCCCTGGCGAGTGAGAGGTGGAGAGAAAAGGGAGGGTGCCTAGTGCCACTCCCTCCTTACTCCAGCCGTGTCCGTGCCAGCCCTCGCCGGCTTTCCAGTTCTCCAAAGATGTCCACGTTTACTTTGGGCACGACAAAGGGAGAACGCGCGGCTGGGGAGAGGGCGCCTGGCCCTTGGCTGACGGTGCCACTGCAAGGGCAAAACCAGGCGGTGGCGGGAGCTGCTGGACCTGGGGCGGGAATCGAGCCGGTGGTTTGGGGACGAAGCACAGAGTGCAGCTCTGAGCAAGATTTCTAATCAGCCAAAAGCCTTACCTGGCTTCTCCAACTGTGTCTCCACTGTGTCCCGGCAACTGGGACTGAGCGGGTCCAGGGTTTTTTGTTTTTGTTTTTGTTTTTGTTTTTCCCGGGAGAGCCAGGAGCGGAGTTTCCTGGGTTTCTCTGTGAGGCTGGGGGAAATGGGGGGCGGGGGGGGGCGGGGAGGGGAGGCCAAAGATCTCAGGCCGCTAGAGCCACCTACGGGTTCATTAAACTGGGTAACAGAGCACAGTCGGGATTCCCTTGGCGCGCTCTTTTGAGAAACCCGAATCATGAGGGCGACTCCCGTTTTGGGGACAGACCCAGACGTATGGTCTTTCGCCCCCGCTGGATCCTCAGCAGTCACCTGTAAAGTCCCTCATCCTCCCCCACCCCCCACCCCCGTGCTTCCAGTCCTCTGTGGCTGTTAGCCAAGCTGCGAGGTCCGCGTCTCCACCGCTGCTTCAGACCCGCCTAGGCTGCGCCTCTGAAGCGGGCCTTTCTGTTTCTCAGGTGAGCCTCATGTTAAACGGGTGGCCCGTGATTTCAGCCTTCGCTGGTGACCAGGACGTGACCCGGGAGGCCGCCAGCAATGGAGTCCTAATCCAAATGGAAAAAGGCGACCGAGCATACCTCAAGCTGGAGCGGGGGAACTTGATGGGGGGCTGGAAGTACTCGACCTTCTCCGGATTCCTTGTGTTTCCCCTCTGACTGGCTCATAGCTGGAATGGAGGCAGGGAGAGGGCCAAGGCAGGAGGAAGGCAGAAAGGGGAGTGAGAAAAAGGCTGAAATTACGAGGGCGAGAAAGCGGCACGACTTGAAACTTCCTACGTGTGCCCTAGCTGTGTCTGGGTACAAAGGTGCGCACGGCGGTCGGGCAACTTCGTCCGTTTCCTTATTAGGAGAAGTAAATTTCGCTTAGCTCTGCGCACTCACATTTCCAAAAATAAACTCGCCTCCCTCGTTCCAGTTGCAGTAATCAAGAAAGAGACTGCCTTGTCATTGTTTCTTACCCCTATGTTCACGGTCCCTGCAATTTATTTATAAGAAACTTTGTATTTCACTATATAATGTGAAATATCTCCCTATTCCCTCTCTGATTCCATCTACCTACTGAAATCTAACATGCCCCCCTCTTTTTTTTAGTTTACAGAGGGGGTAAGGGTTTTTATTTTTTGGATGGGGGAGGTAGTTTTAATTTGGCAAGTGTTGCTCTTCTTAAAACACTGCTCAAGAGTTAATTAGCTGAAGATACTTTGTATCCTCGGCTGCTTGTTAGCCAGAAAGGACTCACCTTAGTGGTGACTGGTTTAAAAACAACAATATATATATAAATATAAATATATATCATTTGTACACGAAGAACTCTTCCCAGTGGAAACTGGCTGTATTTCCGTATTTCTATGTCCTATCCGGAGTGAATTTGAAATCTAAGGCTGCTTGATGTGCTGATGCTTGTCAATGCCCTCGTGCTCTGTGGCTCCACTAAACGCCAAGGAGGTTCTACCGGACGCTTCGTCGTCCTCTGTAACATACGTGTGAATACCCGAGATTTAATTTTGCTTTAATCCAATAAAGTCAAAGTGGGACTTTTATTTTTCTGAAACAGCTTTCTAAACTCCGCATCTTCCCCAGCTGCAAGGTTGGGGGTTGGGGGTGCCGAAGAACAAGGTTCAGAGAGGCAGGAGACTTGGGAGAAAGCAATCAGAGAAAGGCCAAGAGCGCGAAGGCGTCATTACAAAGCCGGCCCTGCACTCCTTCCTGCGACAGGCCTAGGGCCAGCCCTGCATTCTCCTGTGCTCCCTCCTTTGGCGCAGACGTGAGAAATTTGGCCGAATCCTGCTAGGCCGGACGCGGCTGCCGGCCTGGGAGCGAAGTTTGGGTTTTTCCTATTCCAAATGCATCAGGAATAATTCCAATTCGAGGACCGAACCAGCCTGCCTTGAGCAGCAGCCTCCCCATGCCTTCTGTCCCTGGATGTCCCCAACCCTCGTCCGCACCGCAGTTCCCGAAGCAGCCTATGTCTTATACCACCGCCTTTGAATCCGGAGTTCACCCGCCGAATTACCCAGGCGCCCAGGACCTGTGATTGCGCTCATTCGCAGGACTTTTATTCAAGAGGTTCGTCCAGGAGTTTTGATTGTATCGGGACATAATGTGAAAGCAAAACTGAAATAAACGACTTCATTTTAAGTCTGGAAGGCTGACCCAGTCGCTTCGACAACGGGAAGGTCGGGAGCTCGAAAGCGGGTGGGCGACCAAGGGCCGAGGGTCGGGAGCCGCGCCAGGGTGGGTCCCACTGGTTCTGGGGCCTTTTAGAGATTTTTTTTTCCTGGCCTGAGATTCAAGGATGAATTTAATTAACTCCTGGGGATTGGGGAGAAGGGGGGTAATAATAGCACAATATGCAACGTTTCTCGGATTTATTCCTGCGGCTTGTCTGAGTTAGTTTCACCGAGCGTGCGGCCTCGGTTGAAACCCGGGTCCTGGGTCTCTTCCGCGCTCAATCCAGGGGGTCCCCGAGCATCTCTAGCGGAGCCCCCGCAGCCCCAGTGGGATAGGTCCCGCAGGGGATAGGTAGGGACTTGGGGAGTGAGGGGTAGACCCGAGGGCTTTTCTGTTCCTGCCCAACTGCTCCCCTACTCTCCAGTCAGCTCCCAGGGAAGTGGGGATGAGAAGGAAAAAGGTTCCCTAAAGGAATTTCAAAGAAAAGCGATTCTTTTGTTTATTTTAAAAAGAGAATGCTTTCTCCCGCAGTTTTCCAGTTGTTAAGGAGAGCCTTAGGCAGCGGAACTAGCTCCACCCAGCAGCTGTACCGCTGCAGAACCAGCCCTCCAGGCGTGTACAGGCCCTGCACCCTACTCTCCGCGTGTAGGCGGGAGGCTGGCAGGCCGCGCAGTTTAGGAAGGAAGCTGTGTCCAGAAGGCCTTGGAGCTCACGCCTCTTACTGAGGGTGAAAACCACCAGGGTTCTGGTCCTCGTGGCTGCCCGTGCTGTGGAGCCACCAGGCTGTGTCCAAGCTGGGTGACTTTGGCAGGTCCCGGCTCTGGGCATCAGTCTGTCCATCTGTATAAAAACAGGCAGGCCTGTAAATATCAAGGTGTGGATACCGGCAGGTTTCTTTAGCCTCCATGAGTGAGTCTTGGCTGTGGTCTGTGCAGCTGAGTTGGGGCTCCTGAATGCTAGGCCTGAGGCTGGGGTGGAGGCCAGGGAGGAGCCTACACATGCAAGAACTGGGCCTCACGTTTCAGCCCCAGCTCTGGGGCCTGGAAGGTGAGTACAGTGGGAGCAAATGGGCCCCAAGTGGGAAGGAGAGGAGGAGGTTCTCCTTTGATTCTGCTCTGGCTCCAGCTAGCCCCCTTCCAGGGGGAGGGTCCCTGCCTCTCCAAACGTAGGACCTTGGCACTGGAGACCTTTCTCAATCTGACTCCAGCCTCTTCTTCCACCTGCTGACTCCTTCCCTCTGCCATTTGGTGAACCCATATCTCATTACTATCTTCATGCCTCCACACTTCCTATTCCTTTGCTTGAAGTTGAAGTGCTCTTTCTCTCCTCCCCTTCTCAAAATCTTATACTGCTGAGGACCTAAAAAGTTCAGCTAACAGGCGCCTCTCTGTCCTCCCACCAGTCCTTGTCTGGCACTGGTTGGGAAGGAAGACATCTGCAGCTGGACTTGCCTCCTACTCTGTGGGTTCCACAGGTGGTGCAACCCTCACCAGCAAACACTTAGGAGAACTTTAAACTGGTGTCCCTCTCCCAGAGGGCTCTGGGGAGATGTGAGGTTCCATGTCCCCCCGACTGTCCTCATCCTGGGCCTGAGCCTCCCATTAGCCTGAGTGGGGCTGTGGATGACTCTCCCCATGGACCTGGAGGTTAGAGGCCCTCTGGGGCCTGCAATGTGGCAGCCTGGAACCTCCCTCACTTCTGGAGTAAAGGTGAAGGCGAGCATCACTTCTATCAGAGGCAGGTGAGTAAAACTTTGTCTGAAAATTGGGCTCCACCTGGGAGGGAACCAGTCTCTCCAACTGACGTGTTGGGGATTGAGAAGGATGGAGAAGAAAGGCTTGCAGCTCAATAGGGACTACCTCCCTGCCCCCACCCAGAAGCTAGGGAGGGGGGAGATTCTAAAACTTACCCTTCACAGTGGCTTCCTTTAATGCTTAGAATCCTCTAGGCCTTTTGGGATGTGGGCCCCACCTTCGGTTTTCATCTAAAATAAACCCCTTCATATTAGAGCTGGTAGGGGTCCCAGGACCACCCCCTCATCCGTCCTCTCCCTGTGTCTAAAGGCTTCTCCCCAGCTCCTACTCCTTGGTTGCCTCTTCTTCCCCTGACTAAATAGTAAACATCACCTCCTCCTGGGAGCCTTTCCCACCTGAGATAGGCANATGAGAAGGAAAAAGGTTCCCTAAAGGAATTTCAAAGAAAAGCGATTCTTTTGTTTATTTTTAAAAGAGAATGCTTTCTCCTGCAGTTTTCCAGTTGGTAAGGAGAGCCTTAGGCAGCGGAACTAGCTCCACCCAGCAGCTGTACCGCCGCAGAACCAGCCCTCCAGGCGTGTACAGGCCCTGCACCCTACTCTCCGCGTGTAGGCGGGAGGCTGGCAGGCCGCGCAGTTTAGGAAGGAAGCTGTGTCCAGAAGACCTTGGAGCTCACGCCTCTTACTGAGGGTGAAAACTACCAGGGTTCTGGTCCTCGTGGCTGCCCGTGCTGTGGAGCCACCAGGCTGTGTCCAAGCTGGGTGACTTTGGCAGGTCCCCGCTCTGGGCATCAGTCTGTCCATCTGTATAAAGACAGGCAGGCCTGTAAATATCAAGGTGTGGATACCCGGCAGGTTCTTTAGCCTCCATGAGTGAGTCTTGGCTGTGGTCTGTGCAGCTGAGTTGGGGCTCCTGAATGCTAGGCCTGAGGCTGGGGTGGAGGCCAGGGAGGAGCCTACACATGCAAGAACTGGGCCTCACGTTTCAGCCCCAGCTCTGGGGCCTGGAAGGTGAGTACAGTGGGGGCAAATGAGCCCCAAGTGGGAAGGAGAGGGGGAGGTTCTCCTTTGATTCTGCTCTGGCTCCAGCTATCCCCCTTCCAGGGGGAGGGTCCCTGCCTCTCCAAACGTAGGACCTTGGCACTGGAGACCTTTCTCAATCTGACTCCAACCTCTTCTTCCACCTGCTGACTCCTTCCCTCTGCCATTTGGTGAACCCATATCTCATTACTATCTTCATGCCTCCACATTTCCTATTCCTTTGCTTGAAGTTGAAGTGCTCTTTCTCTCCTCCCCTTCTCAAAATCTTATACTGCTGAGGACCTAAAAAGTTCAGCTAACAGGCGCCTCTCTGTCCTCCCACCAGTCCTTGTCTGGCACTGGTTGGGAAGGAAGACATCTGCAGCTGGACTTGCCTCCTACTCTGTGGGTTCCACAGGTGGTGCAACCCTCACCAGCAAACACTTAGGAGAACTTTAAACTGGTGTCCCTCTCCCAGAGGGCTCTGGGGAGATGTGGGGTTCCATGTCCCCCCGACTGTCCTCATCCTGGGCCTGAGCCTCCCATTAGCCTGAGTGGGGCTGTGGATGGCTCTCCCCATGGACCTGGAGGTTAGAGGCCCTCTGGGGCCTGGAATGTGGCAGCCTGGCACCTTCCTCACTTCTGGAGTAAAGATGAGGGCTAGCATCACTTCTATCAGAGGCAGGTGAGTAAAACTTTGTCTGATAATTGGGCTCCAACTGGGAGGGAACCAGTCTCTCCAACTGACGTGTTGGGGATTGAGAAGGACGGAGAAGAAAGGCTTGCAGCTCAATAGGGACTACCTCCCTGCCCCCACCCAGAAGCTAGGGAGGGGGGGAGATTCTAAAACTTACCCTTCACAGTGGCTTCCTTTAATGCTTAGAATCCTCTAGGCCTTTTGGGATGTGGGCCCCACCTTCGGTTTTCATCTAAAATAAACCCCTTCATATCAGAGCTGGTAGGGGTCCCAGGACCACCCCCTCATCCGTCCTCTCCCTGTGTCTAAAGGCTTCTCCCCAGCTCCTACTCCTTGGTTGCCTCTTCCTCCCCTGACTAAATAGTAAACATCACCTCCTCCTGGGAGCCTTTCCCACCTGAGATAGGCAGAGTGTCACCCCTTCTCTGGCCTCCTTCTTTGGAGTGTGGCCTCTCTTACTACTCTGCCTTCTCCCAATCCCCTCCCCCGCCAGTTGTCTGAGGGCAGGGGCTGTATCTTATTCTGCATAGTGTCCAGCATCCAACCAGGCCTGGGGGTGTGGTGGAAGGAACTGAGGGAGGCTGCTAGGACCTAATGAGCCCAGACCTGGCTTCTCCACCAGGGTTTTCCACACCACGCCAAGTGCTCCAGGGAGCCCCACGGGCAAGGAGCCAGGGTCACTGTCATCTCTGCTTATCTCTGCTGTCCGGGAAGCAACGCCCCGTTGCACTAGATCCCGCGCCTGCCCCTAGCTCGCTTGCTCCCTCACCGCGGCTCCCACCATCGGCAGAGCTGGGAGCAGCTTTACAGGCTGCACTGGAGCTCTAATGCTTATAGCCTGGGTGTATTGGCTCCTAATGAGAACATAATTACCCAGATGGAGAGGGAGCCTCACCCTGTTCCTTAATTGTTGCCTTAATCAGGTAGTGGTGGGGGAGAGTGTGGAGCAGAGGGAAGGGGCGGGACGCTCCTGCGGGTTGGGTCCTGGGGCTGGGCAGACCGAGTGGAAGGCGAAAGACCCTGAACTGCGGCCTGCACAAGGCCTCTGGCTCTATGTGCGACCTTTGACTACTCTCTCCCCAAATCTGATCTTTATTTTCCTAAACCTAAAAAATGCAGGGTTGAGCTAGAAGACATCTAGGGTTTCTTTCTTTCAGGTGGTCTTACTTTTCTGATTGACCAGTCCATGAATCTAAGCCTTTGCCTTCAGGCACCCGGCCACCCTCTCCCAGCAGGCACTTGGCAGTGTCCTTTTCACCCCCACCAGCATCCAAACAAAACAGTGGAATTTATTGCTGACTCTAGGGGAGGCCAGTGGTACCATGTAACTGAAGGTCAAGGCAGCCAAGAGGGAAAACACACGCATACCACCCTTTGAACTAACTGGATGGAGGAAAAAAGGGTTTCCCAGGGGTGATGATGAAGTTCTGATCTCCTTGCACAGGGCCCCTCACTGAAGATACATACACTCTCTCTGAACCTCAGTTTTCTCATATTTCAAATGG